TTTAGTAGATGTTTTTCCCTCAAGGAGGAGCCAAATCTAAATCTATTTTGGACTCCCTACTGTGAATCATTCTGTTAATTGGTCTGTAACATGAAAAGCAGAATGTTGCTGCTGAGAGTGACTGAAGGGTGAAATGAGACTGAGGAGCCTTCCAAGGCTATAAATAATTTCTTGGGAAGGAGATGAACATGAAGACGTGTTGACCCAAGAAAAAAACTTTGACCAATTATTCAGAGGTCAACAGCCTCATTTTTCTAACTCACTACTGGTATTTCCAGAACTATTCTCTCTCTGTGTGCCTCCTCCCACCCAATTTTTGTTCCTTGCCAGAGAGGTTTCCCATTCCCATTAATCTGAGAGGACAGACTGTCCCTGCAGAGAGACATTTGTGAGCTCTTGAATTTCGTAGGAGGGAAGCAAGCTCCCAGTTGCCCTTTTATCCTTTGTACAAACCTCCTGAACTGATCAGGACACTGAAACCCTTTAGACCTGTGGGCAGTCCTCTCCATTAGACACAACTTCAGCAGTACTGTTTTTAAGCACCATTGTGCTGTGATATTCTTTAACTAGCAAAATGATAATATTGATGACAGGATGTCGTGGTTTAAACCCAGCTGACAACTAAGCACCACCCAGCCACTCACTCATTTCCCCCCAGTGGGATGGGGAAGAGAATCAGAAGAGTAAAAGTGAGAAAACTCGTGGGTTGAGATAAAGACAGTTTAACAGGTAAAGAAAAAGCCATGCATGCAAGCAAAACAAAACAAGGAATTCATTCACTACTTCCCATGGGCAGGCAAGTGTTCAAAAAAATGGAACAATCCTGCAACTGCCAATACTTCTAAAACCTGAAACAACTTTTGAAATGCATCTATTTTATTTGAGATTTTTTTGTTCAGCAGTCAAAATGGCGACATTGCAAAATCCTCATTAAAACCGATCAATGCTTTGTTTTGCCTGTTACGTATTCAATTTCTGCATCATTTCACATACAATACACAGAATTATAAACCGGGACTTGAAATAGCTGGAGAAACGTTTTGGATTAACCCATGCTCTCCTGAAAAGAAGGTAGCAGGTACAATTAAAGTGACAGAATAAAAAAAGTGGTTGAATGCATCTGATTTTTTTCCTATCACCCCAGTATTAGTACAGGAACTTTATCAAAATGTACTCTTGAGGTTGAGAACAAATCCCAAATAGTGTCCATTCATGAATAATTATACAGCACAGCAGCTCATGAATGGCTGCTGCCTCAGCTTGCTCTTAAACTCAATCCACGTATCTGCTAGGGTGCACAAACACTCTTTTGATTTAACAAACAGAAAAGGACAATGCTGCAAACTAGGCTGCTGCCAGGCTTTCTCAAGATTGTTCTGATCGTTACCTACCTTTAAAGGCTTCATACAAAATTCTTACACTCTGTTTTGCAGGTACCAGTGTGAAATATGCAAGAAGTTTGTGGAAAAAGTTATTGGGCTGATGTCCCTTTTAAAATCTGTCAGCAAGAAGAGGTTAAACCTTGCTTTTCTCTGTTTATGAATTCTAATGCCACTAGAAACCTTATGTCCTCTAACATTGTACTAGGGCAGAACACTACCGTATGCACTCCTATCGGGCATGTCAGCACAATGCTCTGAAGTATTTTGGGATATCCCTGTTAACTCCTTATGTAACTGTACAACCTCACTTTCTGAAATCATGTCCCAAGGCACATAGCAGGAGGCTAGGTACAGCTGTGTCCTACTTCATGCCACCTCCAAGAATACTGAGTTTTGGAGCACTAGTAAGGCTTGCAAAAATAGAAAGCAGTATCTTACAAAAGAAAAATACATTTAAAAAAAAAAAAAAAGAGAGAAAAGAAATTGTGCTCACCTGCTCACCAGCCTGGGATTCCCCTATGATGAATCGATCTCCTGGTCCATCAGCAGCTGTTAAGATGGACAATACAAATGGTAAGGGCTGAACCAAAACAAATGACAGCATTAGAAATCAAGAACAGGAGAGCCAAAGAATGATCTAAGATTCAGTTCTTCACTGTCAGCATGACAAAGGTTATAGAAGTTTTGCAACCATTTTACATTTTAGATCCTTTTGTGTTTATTATTTTGAAAATTACAGGTTCTATAGTACTTTTAACTGAAAATTTCTGGGCAATATGAGATCAAGTGAAAGATTAGGTGGAATTACATTAATAACAAAGATTTAAGAGGTTTCATGAGATTATTTTTATAAAAATGTCCATCATGAGCAAACCTTTTTGTATGTGAAACTAACACATGGGAATTGCATATTTTATAAGTGTATTATGTATCTTTTTTCTAGACAGCAATGGAATATTGACATTTCTAGATTCTATCTCTGCCTTTGGAGGAAAATGTGGACAAGTGGTTACAGACTGTGTGGATGACCATATAGGTTTGCCATTTTCTGAAGAGCAATAGGGCTAAGATAACGCAACTTGGACTGCCACATTAGAAGTCTGGGTTCTGTTCCTTTTTGTAATTTTAGGAGGTAGCACTGCACTAGTCACCTTATACCTTTCACCAAAGCCATTCTGAAAATTAAAAGCCAGAGATCATTGATTTAACAAATTGAAAGTTTGGACTTCCAATTTAGTCAAATCTGTATTTTTACAGGGACAACAAAGGCACCGTTACTAATGAAATGTAAGCTTCTGCTTGCCTCAAAGATCTTTCAGCAAGTTCCATTAGTGGTATTATAGGCTCTACCATGGTGTAAAGCATATATGGAGCACAAGCAGCTCTGCCTGTCCACGATTAGCACGCATGCTGGCAAGAGCGTTCAGACAAACTGGGTCCATATGATCACACTTAAATATGTCTTTTTATTAATTTTCAATTTGTAACTGTCAAGAGTTGATTTCCCAGAGATGAAGTCTAATCAGTGATAACCTTTATCTTAATACCTTCTGTTTTATTTCAAAATCCCTGAACACAGAGCTAAATAACCTTACTGTATTGAAAAGAATTGCTTTCAGGAAGGATGCCCATTCAGTCTGTATAATGATTTATCACATTTGTACTCACACATCAGCTGCAACTCTGCAGATGCTGATCTATGGTACTTAGTCATGTTTGAAGATTAATGATTAACTTAACTTTAAAAGCCTATCAAACAGCCTAATGTATGAGCTTTAGAACAAACTCTAAAATAAGAAAGTGGAAAAGGACTCTGCAACTACTTGTCTTTGAATAATGCATATAATACTACTGAATACAGTTGTCAGACCTTCACTGAAAAAAATGCACTGGTATGATCCAGCAAAAGAAGAAAAAAAAAATCCATAACAGTTAAATTATTTTAAACCTGATAAAATGCTACTGAATTAGATTCAATTCCCCTATTAATAATGACATAGAGACAAAGTTTATAGGTGATGTACAACTGACACAGCTTGAAAAAAACGGACAAGGTTTTGAGCAGACAGGTTTGCGTGACTGAAAGCTAATACTTAATTTTTTTGTAAAAAATATCTGTTAATGTAGTAAATATTATTTCTGCCTACAAGCTTTGTTTCTCATATCCTGAGATAACAGGTCTACAAGAACAGTAAGAATAGAATAGAATAGAATCATTTCAGTTGGAAGGGACCTACAAGGATCATCTAGTTCAACTGCCTGACCACTTCAGGGCTGACCAAAAGTTAAAGCATATTATTAAGGGCATTGTCCAAATGCTTCTCAAACACTGACAGGCTTGGGGCATTGACTACCTCTCTAGGAAGCCTGTTCCAGTGTTTGACCACCCTCTTGGTAAAGAAATGTTTCCTAATGTCCAGTCCAAACCTCCTCTGGAACAGCTTTGAACCATTCCCACCCACCCTGTCACCGGATACACAGGAGAAGAGCTCAGCACCTCCCTCTCCACTTTCCCTCCTCAGGAAGCTGTAGAGAGCAATGAGTTTGCCCCTCAGCCTCCTTTTCTCCAAGCTAGACAAACCTGAAGCCCTTAGCTGCTCCTCACAGGACTTTCCTTCCAGCCCTTTCACCAGCTTTGTTGCCCTCCTCTGGATGCGTTCAAGTACCTTACTGTTACTCTATTTGAATCCACCACCAAAATTAGGGTCTTGTGTGTTGATTCTGACAGAAGTTGTTGAAGACAGCTTTCATGATAATTTTGCTTATTCTGCGTATTTACTGAGATTGTATTTATGCCTTCCCCTATCTTGTAGCAATCAGGTGGCAAGACAGCATTTGCTTGATCCCAAGGCCCTTGTCAGCCAGCATTCTACTCAGAGCTTCCCCTCTCAGCTTTTCTCAGTGTTATATTATCTGTATTTCTCTGGCTACGTCTGCACTCCCTTGCCACTATTACTGGTCATTTTGGTCTGCCTGTCTCTCACACACATAAATAACAGACAGCTGCAGCCAAACTCATCTTGTAGACCTGGAATTTATTTTTTTTATCAAAACCATGGGGAAGCTACTGGACTACATCCATTGCCTGGGTTTGCAGACAGTTTCATGGACAGTTGCCTTCCATTGTTTCAGGTACCAGTGACAAAAAAGATACTTTAATGTCCCTAGAAGAAAGTTGGCTATTGTGCCCAAATTTCAACAAGGTGTTACGATGATTCAACCCCTACTACAATGAAATCACTACTAGTATAATGTTCAATCATATACATTTTAATTTTCCTCCATAGATATCTGAGGTCAGCAACATTAGTCTTACTTTACAAAGGGAAAAACTGATGCACAGAGAAGCAACTTGCTCAAAATCATGCAGCACCTAGTGGCAAAGCAGAGGATGGATGCAGGTCTCCTGGGAAAGCACTCACTGCTTGCTCTGTAAAGTCACACTACTAATCTTATTAATATACAGCAACTGCAATATTTTCAAAGGAAAAATGAGATTTTCTTTTGAGGTGCCTCTGTAAGAGTATGTTCTGATATGTATTTTTGAAAATTCTGTAATGCAATTATACAATAATTCACAAATAGGAAGCTGGATCTGTGACAGTTCAACAAAGTAACAGATATATATGAAATTGCTGATTAAATCAACAACAGAGGAATAGAAGAAGAATCTGTCATTCAGAAACAGATGTTCTGTTACGCTCCTGAACTCTTTATGTTTCCAAGAAACTCACTAGCAACACAAGTGCCTGTCTATGAGCACACATGGATGTGCATTTGCTCATGTACATAGATATCCACTTAAAAGATCTGAATTCAACTTTATGGTCTTCCTTCAAGACAGTTGCATTCTATGTAACTGTGACTTCACCAATGATCTGAATAAACTCTCAACCAAAATAACCATTGCTGGATCCAAAATAGGTGAACTAACATGTTATAAAGTGGTCTTACAGACACTATACTGCATGTCTATGAAGTGAGTGTTTACCTCTGACAGCATAGCCGTCTTTTACTGACGCTGGAAATGGTGGTAGATTATCTTTTGCATATACATCTTGAGCAAGGACTCGGCCCATTCCATCTAGAAAAGAGAAAACAGAAAAGACCATGCTGCATGTCATCACAGCTAGTGAAAGGGGAAAAAAGTGAACAGCAGTGCGATGTGATGGATGAATGTATGTGACATGAACAGATCTCTCAGGTTTTTGATTTCTGCCTCTACATAAATGAAAAAAGACTGGAGTCTGAAAGTACTGATGAAAGATTTGTTCAGTAAGTCTGTGTTCCTGGTTATGTGAAATTGTTGACAGTAGATGTGAATGTCAAGTATCCAAGGTAATAGCTCTGATATAGGATCAGCCAGAAAAAAACAAGCATTTGTTTCTTCAGGGCAAGTTTTTCTCCTGAAATCTTTTAAACATACTTTCCTGTATCTCAATGTAAAAAAAAAAGTTGTTATTGTTTGAAAAGCTTTTAAGATAACAATTTAAAAGTGAATCCTATGTGCAAAAGGTAAGAGGTGATGGATTGAGCCCAGAGGACTCAACATAAACAGTAATGATGGACAAGTTTCCATAAATCGGCAAAGAAGTTGTGCAATAGATTAGCCTTCCCCAACTGCTGAGAGCATTTCTGCTTAATGGAGGGTGAGTGCACGTAAGTGTCAGGATTATTTATGTAAATTTACACTGTTATAGTTCTAAATATTTTAATAGCTGTTTCAAACATACTCTCTCCATTCACTTAGCAACTATGACTGATGAGTTGTAATTTGGCTCTGCCTCCCTGTAGGCACTGATATGAATTACCGCACCCTCAGTCAAGTGTGCACTACTTGTTTGCTTTTATGGCGCCAGCAAGAGCTTTTTTTTAGTATGATGTGGAACACGGTGGAAAATCTGTATCTTATCCCTTCATACAGTAGGAGCGTGAGAAAGAAGATTTATTACATGTGTGATTAGGTGGACTAGGAAAGGGCAGGTGGGTCAGAACTACTGAGATCGGCTTGATTCCAGTATGTCTAAGTAGAAGGAGGGAAGCTCATCTCATAACAGAGGCCACCACTCTCAGGAGTGCGTAGTGGCACAGGAAGGCAATATCCAGCTGAAAGTATGAAAGAATGAGAGGATGCATGAATACTTCTGCCAGGAGAATTTGCGTGGATATGTACTTTATAGATTATGATCTTTCAGACACACCAAAAAAGACAGACATACATAAAGGGTGTTTCTTGTTTTACAGATAGGGAAATCGACGTGGTTCTGGATTTGCTGGGAAGGCAGAAGACCTAACATGGCACACTAACTGGATAGGTTTTGTTAAAAAGTACACCTACTTGAATTGAAAATGTTCAGCTCCAGTGAAGTGGTATTATAATGGAGATTATATTTTACTTATTAATACAAAGTGATGTAGTTAGTAATTAATTATAATTGTAATAACTATAACATCATTATGCTCACATACATATGTATCAACTTTCAGCCTGAGGTGAATATTTATGTTGCATTTTTGAAACAGGTATTGAAATGAAAATGCTGATAAAACCTGTTAAAGCTAGAAAAGCACCTTTGTGATGGCTATTAATACATCTGCGCATCATAGCGTATCATTGTGATACACAATACAGAATTTATTAGAAAGTTCACGAAAGCTTGTACGCTTGCACTGAAAAAAAGAATGCACACAGAGACATCTAAATTATAGCATAGAAAAGGCAGCTATCAAAGGCCTAGTAAAAACACCCTCTGTTCAGAGACACACAAAATTTCATACAAAACTGATGCTTCTAATTTTCGTAGGGATGTTGTGCCTTCATTTTACTTCTTGTCCGCATGCAAAATCACACCAATTAGAGTGAAGTTGAACAGTATGTTCTTGGCATTCTGCCATGCAGTATTTGAAGGGTATAAATGGCCAGCCAGTAGTGTGAATGAATTTCATTAAGGAGCAGAAAAATGTAAGAATTATTTGCTGAAGCCTTAGGCATTTAAAATGAAGCAAGTCAGCAACAAAAGGACAATCTGAAGTACCTCTATACTCTTCTTTATTTCAACAATTATTTTAGAAATACACTGTTTGACCTTATTTTTACTAACTGTAATTAAAAAAAGATGTTCTGAAAAATTTTAATGTCATCACACTGCCCCTGGTGATGCCCATAGCTTTCTGATTCTAACACAATATGGAGAATTACATTAAACTCACTTTTCAAATTTGGGTATTTTCTAAAGCTTATCTGGTGAAACTGGTACAGTTCTGTGAAGAATTTTGATTTCTCAGGGTATTGGTACTGCGATAAAGCAGTGAGACAGGTATTGTACTAGAGGTGATGGATTTGCTCCCATTTTGTATATACTGCCCTGGTAGCACTTCAGTGTGATATGAAAAGGCAATGCTATCAAAATAATCAGCTAGTTTAAAACGAATAAGCAGTGGAAAAAAATGTCCAAGTTCTACAGAAGTTACAGGGTTCGTGGACGAGATCAGAAAAACTGTTCTGTTCTGAGGCTTAAGCCCATAAAGTGTGGATTGCCTCTGCTTTGTACTTTTAGTATCAATTAAACTTCTGCCTCTTCTTAGTCTCAGAAGAATAATCATTATCATGCTGTCTAAAAACGTAACCTTATATACCCACAGAGCAATGTTCAGGTAACTGCACTTAGCTGAAATAAAAGGCTAATTGGGAGTTTCTTACCAGATATTGATGATGGCAGGTGGGAAATATGCTCCAGATGCCTTTGGTTTACAGCACTTCTGTAAAATGTTTCAGGACTGCCCATATTTTATTTTTTTTTAATATGGAAGAGGCTAAATGATCCATACAGGCACTGAGCAATACACTCACCAATGTGAAAGTCATGTTTCAAAAGATAACATAAGGGGGAGGATGAGTAAAGTTAAGAGAGAACAGATTTGAGAGACTACAGCATGCCTTGACTTAATCAAGAATTAAGCCAGGACTGTACTGGTTACTTGTACAGAGTAACATTCAGCAGCTTTATTTATGAGGATGAATACTATGTAGTATGTTTAGTAATGTAAATAAATCAAGCCAAAATTAATTAGGTAATTTGTTAATGAAAGAAATTGCAATCCTAGAACTTTAAACATTCCACTTTCCTTACAGAGAAATTGTGCTCCTGAAAGATAATTTTCAGGAGTCCAGTGTTAATTCAAGACACAAAACCATGAAGAAAATAAACACAGCACAATAGTGCTTTTCTGAGTACAGTTAGTTAGGATTCAGACCTCCAGGACTACATTTTTATTATCTCCTGAGATTACAAGTATATTCACTGAAAAATAAATGAATACATAACTAAATGAAAAACTGGTTCTTAATTCGTTGTATTCTTCAAAATCAACATTTTTTAGCAAACTAACAGAAAACTAACATACATGTATGCGCAAACATGCGCACCCACACATATACATAGATATGCCTATACAAAAAAATCCTGTATATTTGTCTGTATAACACTACGGTGATCATTGAAGAACTTCTGAAAAAGAGATTCCATCTTGAGATTTGTACCTGTAGATTACGATAATTGAATTTCCAGTATCACAGATAGAGCTGTGCCCTTTAGGATGTTTCCTAAAGGCTCAATCCTGAAATTTCATACTATGTATTAGGAAATCTTACAGTGCTAAAATAAATGTATACTTGTTGAAAAATAAATTGCAAGATACAATTTTGCACTACAGTGCAAAAATATGAAGGAATATTTCTTTGTAACATTTTCATTGTTGGTACAATTATGTGAATATTAAATCAAGAACTTACGTCTACAGCTGATGATCTTACTACATATCCAACTCTTTTATTTTGGGTGGGAGGGAAGAGGGTCATAACTGAAGTGTCTTAGCAGACTCAGAACATTATTTTTTAAAGAACGACAGTGACAGGAATAATAACCGGTATGTTCCAGACTTAGAATCAGCCTGGATTCAATGTCAGTAATCAAGTAACATGAAGAGCAAAATGAAATATCAACTAAAATACTATAAAGTATACTAGAATACCTTCTCTTACCTTGACAGTATATTCCCATGTAGTGGAATAAGAACAGAAACAATCAAATTGCCTTTTTGACAAATAAGAGTGTATAAAACTCTATAGAGAATATAAGCATCTAGGTAAGACTGGTTACCTCTGTTCTGTCTCTGTAAGGACATTTTGAAGAGCACGTAGTCTGAATAGAATCACTCTGTTATCGATATGGTAACTTTATCAGTATTAACACATCACTGTTACTTAGTCCATGTTTTGAATGTTTTTTAATATTAAAATAAATTACATGGTGAAAGCTTGTTCAAAGCATGTTGCAGCAGGAAGCTATATATACTGTGATTTTGTCTGTTTTCACCACAGTTCTACTGAAGAAGTTTACAAATCAGATAAATGAAAAGGCTGCTACCTACTGTTGACACAAATATGTTTGCACAAAGACTGGTCTATACATATAAATAGATGGTGATGTTATTGTTACAGATATCAACATACATGTAGCATGTTAGGATTGTGCGTATTCTCTATCTACCTAGAAGATTATTTTTAGCCATATATTATTAACTTCTAGGAAAAATACAGCTTCTGTCCAGAAACACAACAGCAGCAACACAAAAGTGTTGTGAAAGAGTATGTAAGTGTAAAAGACAGAGAGATGGAGAAAAATGAAAATAAAGATAAAAGTACAAGAGAATAAGACATACTTATGGAATCAGGGACAAAAAAAGGAAAAATAACAGTTTATCAGTACTTGTTTTTCCCTATAATCAATACAATCCAAATCCAAGAACTTGTTTCTTCATAGTTTTGCACTAGAGGTTTAAAAAATCAAAAATATTTTTATGTAAAAAATAATGATGCTACAGTGCCTTAACAGTACCTTATATAGCAAACTAAACATACGCTGCACTTATTTTTCATGGAGGTACACGCCAGACGTTTATCCCTTATTTCAGGGGTTCACTGTCATATACATAGCATCTATTTGGACTAAATGTACCTAACACTGTGGTTCATCATATTGCCCACAAAGGGCTGTCTTAACAAAAACATTTAACTGACAGTTATCCAAAAAGATCTAATAGCTGTGTTCAGGCATTTATGCCTTAATGCCGCCTTCTAATCTGCACATCATTATGAAAGTGGAGGGTGTAATATTCATATTACTTGTTGATCCAATATTGGTGCTGTTCTGAATGCAGGATACACAGCATCTTCTCAGAGATCTGCTTTCTGCTACCAAGGCACAGGGGAGGGTTAATCTCCACTTGGAGTGACTAAACCAACAGGTGTGATTCTACATACTGTCTGCTAAATCAGTATGTCAATACAAAGACATCTCCAAGGTCTGTGGTAGTACAAAGTTTTGGTGAAGAGCATGAAAACTTTGAGATTTCAAGCCAGAAGACAGAATATCCTATTCAGAAATCATTTGTACCTCTCTGCTATTTGGAGTCCACCAATGTCCTAAACATTTTGTCTCTTGAGGCTCATGCTTCCACTATGTCTTCGCTTACCACCTTACCTTTGGAAAATCTGGAGGAATCCCTGGAGGTGGTTTCCTTTTCCCTACCTACTTTAGGATTACTTGTCAGCATGCTTCCTGTCATGGTTTTGTTCTGTGCCAAGAATGCTGTCCCAGGTAAAGCCCAGGCTTGGTGTAAGGGACAGCAGAAGCAAGGGAGACACCTAATAGGCATTATGAACACGTTATTTCAGGAGGGAGGATAGTTTAGTTGAATAAACATGAAAGGTGCCCTGCTAATTCCTTTTAAGGCCAAAAAATGGCTTCACCTATCCCCATTTATTTACGAGTATAGACACAGTCACAAGGTCTCACATTTTGTCTGTTTGGTGCCTTTTAAGACAACCTCTCTGCATAAATCAGTAACAGTTACCCTTGATTATAAAGTTTAAATAAATCAAACATTAAAGCAAGCAAGTATCAGAAAAGGATCAAATGTAGTAGTAGAATAGAAAGGGAATTATGTTGCATTTATGAGAAAAGGAGGCAATTTCTGGAATGACTAGTAGGCCAAGTAGTATCTGGAAAAACTGACTGAGATGAAATGTTAAAGATATAGACGTGGAAAAAAGTGACCTGGAATCAATAATCACTTTGATTTGATCATTAATCTCAGATTGGAAAAGGGGTTTAGTGAGAATTTCCCACAGAAAGAGAACAGAGTGAATGACCACAGTACAACTTGGAGCTACTTTGCATCTACAAAAGTCCAGTGTTAAATCAACCACTGAGGCAAACTGTAGTTTCTATGTTTCAGCTTTGGTGCATATAACACAGATCAGAAGAAAATTAATTTATATATTTAATTAGAGTTCCATTACAGATTACTTCAAGGAGTAGCACTGACCTCAGTTAACATTCTCCTGACTTTGAAAGGAGATTTCTGCTCCTATTATTGGCAGTTCATAAAGCAGTTTCTCCTGGAGAAGATACTGTCTCAGACACCTCACAACATTAATAAAAGAGCAAGCGCTTAAGAAGGTTGTAAAGTAAGGAAATAACCACCCTAATCCTCACAAAGAATCCAATTTAACACACCTCTGTAATTGATGATTTCTGTTCCAAGCACTGGGGTCATCTCCAGAACTGTGATGAAGGCCTTGTCCATAGAAGTCAACGGGAACGGAGACATGCGGTGTCTTCTTGCTACCTTGGTAATGTCAACAGCACTGTGACCTGCAACAAAAGAACATCAAGTTTATGTATGCTACAATGTGTAGATGTACACAGTGATGTTCATTTAAACCACTGGACTGAAATTAATCCAGCACTTTGGGGTAAATTAAACCAGTTAGTTATCATTACTGAGCATTTGTGTCAGATACTGGGAAGGCACTGCATTCAACTAGAATCAGAAGAGAGATTTAAAGCAAAATGCAATTTACAATTGAAAAAGTTCCAAAAAGTGTATATCCTTACTTGTCATGAAAAACATACCAGAAGTCTTGATGAGCATAAAAGGATCAGTTAATCAGAAACAGAACCCCTTCAAGACGATGCTGTATTTTACACTGAGGATGATAACCTGAAGCTAACTGAGTTCTATGAACTACGAACTCACGATGATTTACTCCTCATTCTGTTCTCCACAAACACATCTCTGTGTTATGTGCAGTGCACAGATAAAACATAAAAATGGACACTGTCCCAGTGGGTTGCAATCCAAGAGTGAGATGGCAGTCAAAAGGTTTGAAAGGAGGATAGAGGGAAGCACAATGAAATCACTGGACAGTCAGGACAGCAGACAGCGTTTCCAGCTAGTGGGCATCCTACCCATTGTCAAGGTTTTGTAGTCACCGTAGCAAAGTGACGTTTAAATGTATAATTTGAGTAAAGGCAGTAGGGTAGATTAATGGAAGCTTACTTTTCCCAAGTATGAGGGACAGATTGGGAGAAAATACAACAAAAGCTGTTTGAAAATGAAGCCAGCAGCATGTTTGATTTCTTGATACTTACTGAGAGAGTAAACAAGAGGACAACAAGCTTTGAAGGATTTTGAAAGTGAAGATAAGCAGCTGAAGAGAGGGAATTATTGCAGGAATACGTAAACAAGAGTAACAGATACAAACCAAAAGATTAAGAAAATTACATTTGTAGAAATATCTTGAATGGATTTGCCTAGAACAAGAAGGTATTTATGAGACTCAAAGTGGATATTCCTAAAGCAACATAAATTATAATATTATAGCATTAACAAATAATAGAAACTAATTTTTAATGACATGATTTTGCTTTGCAGTAGCTACCTAAATACTCCATTTGCTGCTACACATGCCTTCACATTCTGGAAAAAATACGATTATTGCTTTAAGTGTAGTCTTCTAATAAAAAATAATTACAAAAACAGTAAAACAATCATGCAATCGAAGTTTTTCCTTCAGAAGAGAAGGTCACTTAATCAATTTGTATATCCAAAACTTCTTTCAGCACCGACACATGCTTGTCTCTCTATGTGGGAGTTCGTTTATTAATTTATTTTTTGCCGTTAACACAGTAACTATCTTTAAGAGGAAGAAGTAAAGACAAATAAAACTGCCCACCTAATTCCAATCCCAAGAAAGATTCTGGAAGAAATTATTTGAACAATCTCTTTGTACGCATTTAGAAGATAACATGATGATAAAAGCAGGCACTGTGAAATTGCCAAGCACAAATAATTTCTAACTAACTGACTTAATTCCCTTCCTTAACATAGCAGTTGGCATACTGAGGAAGAGAGAAACAGCTGATGAGATATATTTTAACTGTATTAAGATTTTTCACACTCTTAAACATGACTTTCTCATAAGCAAACTAGGGAGAAATGATCCAAATTAAACTATTGTAAGATAAAAATATAACTAGTGGAAAAACTGCATGTCTGGATTTAACAACAAGGATGTCCTTAGCAAGCTTGCATTTTCCATTATTATGCCTGTATTTCATTAGCAACCTCGTAAAAATGAGGAAAAGGAAAAGAAAGCATTTGTGAGACAGTCAAACTTCCCATACCTTTCTCTGCATAGAGAAAGAGACTCTGCTTAGCAGGACCATAATTCCTGCAGGTCCAGCAGATTCCACGCAATATATGTTAAAAACTTTTTCCTGACTATGTAAATTAAAAAACTATTTTCTTAAAAGGAAAATTTGGAAAAAATGAAGGAAGATGCTAGGAAAAAAAATGCCACAGCAGTGAAATGTGGAGGAATTGCGTGGCAGCAAACAATCTTTATGCTACATGCTTTAATGTTTATGTTCTACTGCTACCTAAAACTCACTGTTAGCTACTTCAGAAACTAACATTTCACCTCTTTAACCCTTAAAACAGGTATGAATTCAGAGGCTTTCAATGCTTTGAATGGTGCCCAGGGTACTACCTTCAGATTCGGAATCCTGTGTCTAATACAAGTCATCTGCTTAAGTCAAAGGTTCTGTTAAAAATTCATGAGAAATATGTTCTTCAACACAGTTTTTTTGAAAATAGATAAAATCCCCTAATCTCTGACAACTTTGTTCCAACACCAAAAGTAACACCCATTATTTCTGCAAGAGAAGCCAAGGAAATACATACTCAAAAATAGGGCCCTTTCAGGTTTAACACTAGCATGAATAACCTTAATGAAGAAAGGAAGATGCATGTGTAACTGCTAACCCTTCTCTCTCCCTATTTCTTCCTACAAACAAATGCTAACACTTCTTTTAAAGGTATCATACATTTAAACAGACCCAGAGACAAACAAATAAAATTCTAAAATTACTAAGTGGTACTTTTAAAGTACAAGTAAATGACATTAAACAACTCCTTAGACCTTTCCAAGTTATCTTCCATTAATGTCAAAGGTCAGATGGCTCTAAAAATAACTACTTGCATTAAGCTGCATTTTGTATGACAAAATAATCCTCTACCTTTGAAGCAGCTAAGTCAATAGGTTGCATAAGGTAGAAAATTCCTGACAGCCTTCTCTCTTATCACCAAAACAACTTCCTATTCCTGTTGTTATATATATACACATACATATAGTGTATCACATTTTAGACCAGGAAAGATTCCTATAAAACAAAGGAAAATAATTGTGCAAATGAAAGAACAGGTCATTTGAATCAAATCTGAATTCTTAACCTTTGCAATTTTTGGTTTGGTTTTATGTAACTCAACACTCAATTTCATGCTCAGGTATGAAAATAAAAATCATATATATTCAACTTGAGAATTTCCATTTTCATTGTCTTTGAGTGTTAATTCTTTTTGCCCATAAAACTTCCATACACATCATCATTTACAGCAATACATCACCATGAACAACACAGGCTTCCATGTTATTAGAACAATGACTTGGAAGAAAAAATTAAAAGGCTCTTGGGAATCTGGAGAGGTCCCAGTTGAGTGGCAGCTGGCAAACGTTGTCCCAATTTTCAAGAAGGGCAATAGGGATGACCCCAGTAACTGCAGGCCTGTCAGTCTCACTTCAGTGCCTGGCAAAATTATAGAGAAGACTATTCTGGGAGTTATTGAAAGACACCTGAAAAACAATGCAGTCATTGGTCCCAGCCAGCACGGGTTCATAAGGGGAAAGTCCTGTTTAACAAGCTTAATTTCTTTTTACGACAAGGTTACCCACCAAATGACCCAAGGGAAGCCAGTCGATGTAATTTTTTTAGATTTCAGTAAAGCTTTCAATACTGTCTCTCACAGTACCCTCCTGGACAAAATGTCCAGCATACAGCTCGATAAATGCAATGGGTGACTCATTGGCTGATGTGTCGGGCTCAAAGGGTTATAGTAAATGGGGTCACTTTGGGCTGGCGACCAGTCACCAGTGGGGTTCCACAGGGATTCATCTTAGGGCCAGTGCTCTTCAATGTCTTCACAAGTGACTTGGATGCAGCACTCGAATGCATACCAGGTAAGTTTGCCAATGATACAAAATCAGGAGGAACTGTTGACAACCTTGAAGGCAGAGAGGCCCTGCACAGAGATCTAGACAAATTAGAGAGCTGGGCAATCACCAAGCGTGTGAAGCTTAACAAGGACAAGTGCCGGATTCTGCATCTGGGACAGGGCAATCCTGGATACACATACAGACTGTATGTGTACACAACCAGAGGTTGGAGAGCAGCCCTGCAGAGAGGGACCGGGGAGTTCTCGTTGATGGCAAGTTGAACACGAGTCAGCAGTGTGCTCTGGCAGCCAAAAGGGCCAACCATATCCTGGTGTGCATCAGGCACAGCACAGCCAGCCCGTCGAGGGAGGGGATTGTCCCGCTCTACTCTGCACTAGTGTGGTCGTGTGGCCTCACCTCGAGTACTGTGTGCAGTTTTGGGCGTCTCAATACAAAAAGGATATAAGGCTACTAAAGAGTGTCCAGAGGAGGGCCACAAAGTTGGTGAAGGGTTTAGAGGAGAAGCTGTATGAGGAGCATCTGAAGTCACTTGGTTTGTTCAGCCTGGAGAAGGGGAGACTGAGGGTCGCAGTCTACAGCTTCCTCATGAGGGCAAGCAGAGGGGCAGGCACTGATCTTTTCTCTCTGGCGACCAATGATAGGGCCTGGGGGAATGGCATGAATATGGGCCATGGGAGGTTTAAGTTGGATATTAGGAAAAGTTTTTTCACCCAGAGAGTGATCGAGCACTGTAAAAAGCTCCCTGGGGAAATACTTGCGACGCCAAGCCTGACAGTATTCAAGAAGCCTTTGGACAACACCCTCAGACACATGGTGTGAATTTTGGGGTTGTCCTGTGCAGAAACAGGAGGTGCACTCGATAATCCCTGTGGGTCCCTTCCAGCTCAGGACATTCTATGAACTATCTATTAATGCATGAACACTACAAGCTATTTACACTTTTATTTTCTCTTTGGACTGAATTTAATTGTCTTAAGTTATTAAATTTCTCCTTCAAACCCTTATGTCCCAACCATATCCTTCTCTTCTCATCTGACCATCATTTGCTGTCTTCTGAGCAGTCTTAGTTTCTCAACAGAGCTATGAAGTTTCAGTACTTACTTGCTCTGAGGATGTTCTCCTTGCTGCTGCACCTAGACTGGACCTGCAGAGAGAGCAGAGAGTCTATGAGCTACAGAAGTTAACAAGAATGCAAAATACAGAGATATAATGGGCAAGCTCCTGGGATTTAAGACAGAGGCTATACGTATTTCCAGCAACATTCTTATATGGTCTACATAAGATACGTATATTTAAGCAGAAGGGTAGTAGCTGATGGTCAGAATCCAGTACAAGCAATTTGATTCCAGGCCCACTGCCCCATAAGAAACAAGATGGCCTAAGGACAGTAATAGACTAAAATTAAAGAACACAGTGGTTAAAATTACGTGTTAAGCTCCAGTTTTAAACAGAAAATCCACATTTTCTTACACAATTGTAATTACAGGAACTCTGAATCTAGGTCTTGTTTTATGATTAAACAAAATACTAACATAACTATATTATCATGACCTGCTTTAAAATTCTACCATTGATATTTTCAGGTATTATAGAAAGAATCTAAAATACTCAATTTAGATTGTGTTGATTGTGAAGATATTTAATAAGACTTCTTAGCAATTGCATAAGCAACTCACAATTGTATAAAGTTCCTGGCTGGAGCCTGATAAATTTACTCAGTTGTTTCTGTTTGGTTAAAAGAAATGCTATGTTCAGTATGAACTTTACAGTGCAATTCTACTTCAAAAAGTAACAGTGTGAGAATGACAATGGTTTTCTCAACAAATCCTCTTCCTAGATGCTTAGCTGCCACTGTGCTATTCCAGATACATTAGACTGACTCCAGCAAAATTGGAGGATTCATATTGGTCTAATATTCCAGTAGCATTGGATATTTAGAGTTCCATCTGTTTACCATGCAGATTTAAAAAAGAATTGTTTTTTGAAGAGTAACAGTTGTGCAAAAACAATACAGTTTAAACTTTATCTATACTGAAGCATCTGCTCTTGTTAATTCTTCTCAGGTTTGGAAAGGTAGCACATTGTATAATACTGAAATTGCAAGTTTTCAGATGAACTAATCTGAACAGCAGGCTATCTTCTGGCAGGTCAGCTGACTGAACTGGTAACACTTGAATAAAAAGCTTTTTGTGCAGACAAAGCCCCAGCTAAAGTAAACTTCACAGGAAGACAAACCTCTGAGAGAGTATGAACGGAATCCTTCTCTTTTTTACTTTATTGACAAATGTATTGTGAAATTTCAGTGAGAGGACTAATAAAGCAAAACCATGTACATGTGGTGAAAGAAGCGGAATAGCACAGGTGATACTGAGGGTGTATCTTCCCTGCAAAAGATTCGTGTCTGCTGAAAAAGCCAAGGAGTGAATCCAGATTATCTTTCAGACTACAGTTTCAATTGGCAGTTACAGAAAAATTGCCTAGAAAGTGAGTATGTGAGCTAACAATTGATGAAGAATGATACACATTGAACCCCCAAAAAGCTATCTTCAGAAAGGAACAACCATTTAAGGCTGAACCCAACTGTGCCCCAACTGCTAAACCTCTTTCTTCTGTTCCACAGCAGCTTGCCCCAATGTATATTCACATAAAAAATTGGATTCTACAGTGCAACACAGTCTACTTATTGTAATGGAATAACTAATGGAAAGTAATGTTGCAACTTAGAGTGGGTTATGGTGTCTTTCCCTGAAAAAAAACTGTTGTTTAAAAAAAACAAACAGAAAAAACCCAAACCCTCCCTCCTTCCCACCAAAAATACTATACAAGAAAACTGCAAACAAAATATTAATGATGCCCAAATTTGGCCCAGAGTTGTTTTACCAGATTTCAAAGGCATGACATGAACTGTCTTTGGAAGAAGTAAATATTTACCTATAATTTACCAAAGGACAATTCTGGACCAAAAAGATGGGATATGATAGGAAAGAAAGCACAAAAGAGAGAGGCACAGATTGAGAGAGAGAGAGAAGCAGGATGGACGTGGCAAGGCAGAAGATGGTGTGTGCAAAAGGAGACATGGGCCTATGTGTGTAAGACTACTGTTTAAAATGGAAGAGGCTCTCTTATTTCTCACTGAAAACCATATGAAAAGAGAAAATGAGGAATGAGCCTGCTGCAAAATAACCAAGCGATTCAGCAAACTGTGGAATGAAACTCAGTGAGATAACACAGTCCTGAAGAAAAAGGCAAAAAAAAAAACCAAACAACCAAAACACAAACATTTGAAACAATCTACTAAAACAAACTAAGTAAAATATATGATCCAAAGGACAGATAAAAACTACTAGAGAAGGAAGAAAAATGTTAGCAGACAAAGACAGTGCTAAAGAGGTAAAATGGAAGTCAAAAGAGAGTCTTCAACAAAGTGGAGGAACAGAAGGAGCCCAAACCCATAGCGCAAAGCAATGTTTGCGAATGGAAAACAGCTCCTTTGAGCAGTAATAGTTACTCTCGAGTTGTAGCCTCTATTCCTCCTCAGTTCATCTTTAAGCCCTTCCAACCTATAGTGGAGCTAGTGTATGGACAAAAACAAGAGATTTATAATGAACAGAGCAGCTGAGATTTGCAGATCAAATCTTCCAATATAAAAAACGTGCTGACAAAGTTTTGCTCTTACAGTGTCCAAATGACAATGGTAACAAAAGACAGCTGGCTTCACACACAGCCTCTTACAGGTCATTTTTTTTTAATTCTGTGCACACAGAGGACTTTAAATTGACTTTTTGATTTCTTACACCCAGTCTATAGTTTCCATGTTATCACTCACCTGATGGGCAACATATGCAGTATAGGAAATAATTTGCTTCCCACAAATTTTAAAAGCAGCTGTGGAAGAGGAATCCATGATAATAAAATAAAAGGCTTGATCAGCTAGACTTGATCGTTTCCCAACCTATGCTCACAGCTGCAGAATACAAACCATGTTTTAACATAACTGACATCAAAATTAGTTATTACATAATACTTCTGTTTGCTTAATATTATTTGCACATTGATATCCTAAATGTTATTTTTAAACAAAACTGCAGTAAAATATGATTTTGAACAAAACCCACCAATTTTCTAATACATACAGTTTTAGCAGCAATGGAGCTTTGTATAAATGGGGTCATGTGCTTTAAGTGCCTTTTATCATATTCATTAATTGTATGTTTTACTTCTTCGTTATTTGTGACATTTACGAAAATCTGTATTCTTTTCACAGCTACTGCTAAGTAAAGAATCCATATTACATTGCATATAGTACCATGACTGACTGGGGCAAATGATTCGTAGCATTATTTACTATAATTCTTCTCATTCACAGGTAGTTACAGAAATAACAGTCTATGGCTGTCTCTCCTTTCACAGGGAAAGTATAGATTTATTGTTTGTCCATTCTACAGCCTCTTGGCTCAAAATGCACCTTGGCAGAATATACAGTGGGCTATCAGCCAGTACAATTCCCCTACATAGTTCAGGCAGAATGTAACCAAACCCAAAGCATTCAATTCACATTACTCTGTTTTTTAAGCAAACTGGATTTTTTGTTCTTTAAGACATAATTTCATCATGCTGGAATGCAGAGTAAGCTTTCTCCCATAAGCTGAAGTAGTAAACAGAATGTGAAATAAAGTACTCAAAAATAAATTAAGGGAATGGTAAAATAAAGAGTCCTGCCGACAATTTCTATCTATCAATCATAATTGGTCTGAAAAATGACATCAATGACTGTAACAAATGTGATTTATTTAAAGCTACATGATATATTTTGTTGCAAATAAAAATCAGTCCATAAAAATTTTTTACAAGAAAAATAGAAAAAGACACAAAGAAAAGTTCATGCTACAAGTGAAAAACTCATGTAAAAAATAAAGAAAAAAAGAAAATTGAAAAACCCTTTAACACTTTACCATGACTGTTAGGAATGGTTAGAGAAATTACTTACCTTTTTAAAGTCATAACAAGATTAGCACAGAGTATTAAGTCAGCTCTTCATTATGGGAGGTACAATTAAAAGCCATCGGTTACAATAAAACAAATTGCTACACAAAGATGAAGAGTTTCCAGCCCAATATGAAAAGCTAACTCTTATGGGAGTACATTTCAACTCAATTTTACAACATGAAGAACAATTCAGAACAATGACATCAAAAGATGAGTTATCACCAACAGAGAGAACCCGTTTCTCAGGAACACAGAGCCTGCAGGAGGCTAACCCATAATCTTTATCATTTATGGGAAAGCACATTGCTCCACTTCTAGGAAAGCATGCAGAATGTGGAACCACCAGCAGAAACCCAAACATACATACAGACACAGAGGACTAAGGTACAGCAAAGGGAATGAGTTCGCCAAGCTGTAATGAAGGAAGCAGGGTATGCAAAGCACAACAGCCGTTAACGATTTAAGAACTCTATTCCTCTGTCTCATGAACCCCAGGCAGCCCTGTTTATGAGGTATTGCACTGACTACAACTTACTGTTGGTGAAAAAGTGCATAATTCATATATAACTTCTCCTTGAAACTTCAGCAGTTTTATGAAGACAATTTATTCTGTGATGTGGGAAAGTATGCTGCTGCTGCTTTTTTCTACACGTGATTTAATAGTAATTACATGATCTGAGTTCTGTACAATACACTCTGTGCACATGTCCTTTGAATGGTCTCTCAAATACTTGCCTGCTTTAAATAGATTTCAAATCATGTATGATCTGATTTACAGCTGTAGGAGTATGCATGGTGCCTCTTGCCTAACATACCTTTTTCCTCCTAAGAGTGCAACATACATTAATCAGTATCTGTAAATAAATACATAAAATAAAACTAAGACGTGAATAACAATGTCTCAAACTAGTCTGACAATACTATAAAAATTGATTTTGGCCTGTTATTCTAAATAATATACATAAATTTAAACTAAGAGCAAATTAAAAAATGTAATTAAATATATTGGTTGGTTTCATTAAAAGAATTGCTTTAAATCTAATCTGAAGAAAAGAGAGAATTGCTTTGATTGCATTAATATGGAATATAAAGATGAAGTTGTTAAAAAAATTCCAGAGGAAATGTGTATCTGAAATTGTGTACTTCAGAAAACGTTCA